TAAATGACAATGGTGATTTGCACATTTCCTTCAATATTATTCCTGCTACTAATGCCTTTGACCAACAACTGCTTTTCAAGTGTTTTTATGCCTGTCAGCTAAGTATATTAAAGGCCATTTAATTTGGACTTGTTTTTCCATAAGTCATGCTAGACTGAAGCAAGGAGTTTATCAATGCTTGTGTGATTTTTATCAGTGCAGTTACCTTTTTTTAATAATAATTCTGACTTTGCCTAAGAACAAAATCAGATTTATTTTATAAGGTTGTGGGGGTTTTTTTTCTGTAGAAGGGATACTAATTACACACAGCTTTCCCTCATGACTCTTATCAACCAGCAGCCACCAACTGGCCTCAGGGTTGCATAATTTTCTCAGTCTTCCAAGGTGGGTATCAGTTGAGCACTAATGGTCAGCCATTATTCCTTGTACTTTAGGTACAAGTGTCCTGCACATTTTAATGAAAAAATCCCAAGTGTCCAAATTTGGTCTTTCCCTCTAGAATAAATCCTGTGTTCTCTTTTTGTTGAAAGGACTATGGGATTCTCAACCATCCTCATATGACAAGTAAGCCATCACCCATAAAACAGCATCTCACTGCTTTCTAAATACATAAGGTACTAATACTTTCAATATTTCCCTTTTTTGTATCAATAACAATTTACCACGGGCATACACTAATAGGAACATATAGTTTAAAATTTTAAGTGGTTTTCATCTCTGTCTTGTACACTTCAGAAACTCTTTTCTTGTATTTAGGTCTGCTGGCCAAGATTTCTTTTCCTACTGTTTATTTATTACTGTTGAACCTCATTGGCTTCTTGTCTATATTTATTACTATAGATTTCCATTTCCTTCTCTTTGATAAACAGTGACCTTTGCCAACAGGTACATTTATCTCCATTTTGACGTGGGCTCTGCTTGTGTTGCTCTCTTCACTCTGTCACCAAGAAGATGAACTGTGAAACCTCCTAACCCAGCTGGTTTAGAAATTAAAGGGGTATGGTGGCAGTGTGGTAGTGAGCCACTTCAGGGAACCAGCCAGGTTTATAACCATTTGTCATATGAGGTCCTTCAGTTCATGGTTTTACCTTTGTCATAGAACATTCAAATTATCTGGGGGGAAAAAAAAAATCCTGATTATGGCCTACTGTGCTGAATCTTGTAGATTTGGTTACAAGGAAAACCTGTTGAGTTTGCTGGTTTCACCAGCCACAAACCTGGTTGCTTCTGTTCAGGAATTCAAAGTGGTGAGATAAAGGATGTAGACAGAAACCTTCAAATCTGTTTTTTGCTGTTCTGTGGTAGCATTCTGGAAGTGTTCAGTAAGATGAAATGATTTGAGGAGAACTCTGCTGGCCAAAAGCAATCATCTAACATGAAGGTTTTTTAACTCGGTGGAACTATTCCTTCTCTTACGGAAAATGAGTCAGCAAAGAAATGACTTAGCAAAGAAGAGTTAGAAAAGAAAAACTGCCAACAGTTTTAAGTGAAGAGTGTCTGTTTGAAAACTATCAAAGTGAAGTTCTGTCCTTACTTCCCTATATAATAATTCTACTCTTGCTCTTTTCTTTCATATCTCATGAAAATATTTGTGGTCTTCTGATCAAATGCACTGGAAGAGAATTGCTGTTCTTTTTCTGTATCAATTAAAAACCAACCTTGTGTTGCTGTAAGAGAAAAAGACTAAATGAGCTATTAATATTATTAGCCCTTATTGTATTTGAACTAGATTTAAGATCTATGAGTTCCTAACTCAAGGTTATATATAGAGAGAGGGCAGCAAGCTAAATTGGCAGCAATTGGTTTTACAGCTGATCATGAAAGGTATTTCTTAACTCTGTTTATATTTGGAACATATTGTTACTTATAATTTGCATAAGTTCAGAAATATCTTGCACAGATTTCTACAAGAAAAATCCAGAGAAGATCATTATATACAAATATTCCACTAAGGTCTCACAGACACTCTGCCCCATGGAGCAGTGCATGCTATGAAATATTGTATACTCACATTTATTTTGACTATATACAGGGCAGATGCTACCAACCCCTTTTGTAGGTAGGATTAGATAGAGCTGTGGCCTGACCCAGAACAGCTTTTGCATGGTCTTATGTACATGAATCCAGCTCTCCCTACAGCTGCATCCCAGTTCTTCTGGGATGGACATTGGAATACTCACTATCAGGTTCTACAGTGTGGTTCTACGTTTCACCATTGGAAAATTGTCCCATACCAGCATGGCTTTCAGCACATATCACCTGTGCAGGAAACCTAGAGAAAGAGGGAGAAAGGTCAGGTTATCCTTACCTGCTTACTGCTCTCATTCCCCTCTCCTTCCTTCTAAGCATTCAGCCTCGTGGGTTTTCAAACCCCACTGTTCATCTTGCTGCTCGTGAGTGGCACGGATGTGTCTCTTTCTTGGATGTGTCACAGCATGGGTTAGTTTCCTGGATTTCTACATAGTCTTTGAACTGAGATTATGAAAGTGCTCTTAGTAGGAACCAATTATTTTTGCCCAGCAGTCCCTGACTTAGGCTGTCCAGGAGCAAACTGCTGCTGCTTAACTCAAATTCAAACCTGGTCTGCCAATAGGTCTGCAGAGAGAACACTTGAGAGGAACCTATGAATTTATCAGCACTTAATCAAACCAAATATAAAGTTCTGTGGTGAACATGTACAGCAGGCCTCACAAGCAGCATTTTCTCCCACAAAATCTGGCAGTGCAACTAAGAGAGTTGCTCTGCTCCCTGCTTTTGAGTGGAGTTTAGTTTAAGAGACAGAAATAGCACAGTTGTGTGTAAATTAAATGACATTATTTGAAAACAACTCTGAAAGAATGGAGACTAAAAATCTCATCTAATTAATGTGTAACAATAGATGATGATTTATTGACTCCTCTGTGAATATACAATTTCTATTGGCAATATTTAGATACGTTTTCTCAGAAATTCATTATTATTTATGTTTAGTAATTTATGATTAAACATTTTACAAGAAACAAGGCACTAAAATGTACAGTTAGTCATCCTTATTACATACACTGGGAGTGTCAAACATACAGTACATTCCCCTGGCTAAAACAATTATTAAATTTCTTCCCCCAGTGGTACTTCTTGTTGAAGCCATGAGAATATATGTATTTTAGGGTCCTACTTCTTCTCCTTTTACTCACTGTTTCCATAGGAAAGACAAAGAATTTGCTATGAATATTAGCTACACAATAAAGATAATGAAAACTACATTAACCACATTTCTTAGGACTCAGACATACTATGAGATCCATACAGATTCAAACTATAATATGGGTGGTTTTTATTAATTTAAAAAATAAAAACAAACAGTAGTACAAAAAAAAAAAATTGTTTAAGGGTGCAATTCCAGAAGCTACTTCCATGCACTCCAGAACCAGCCTCTGGTGGTGTCTGAGGCACTAAAATGCTAAAACAACACTTTACAACAGGTGTGATAACTGGGCTGACACCATGCTAGGAAAATCAGATCAACCGAGTGGCTTCCACTTGGCTGAAAAGGAGATCTTAATAGTGTATAGTTTTTAGCACAATTTAAAAAGCAAACCCCAGAAAAAGTTGTTGCTACTAAAAGCAAAGACCACAAGAGATACCATCTAATACTGCATTAAAATACTTAGTATCAGAAGGAGTGATACATGTTCAAGTATCTTATGACAAACAAAATACTTAAGCGCTCATTCTGTTTCAGGTTCTTGCTGACCATAAGCACAAACATGACAAAATGTAATTTCACATATTGCTAAATACAGCAGAATCTAATATCACATACAACACCACGTAAAGAAACAGTGGTTTCCTAATTATTTGACCATTTATACAAAAACACAATGAGGAGTGCCTAGATTCAGGTTTCACCTTGAGATTCTCAAGCTCCTGTGATGACTATTTTAGAGATCCACGTTTTAATGCCTCTGCATTTGGACTGCAGTGATCCTGAGCCTCCTGAACACACTTGGAAAGATTACCACTTTCAGAGGTTTTCAGAGGATCCTTGCAATCTCCTTAATCAAACAAATTCAGGAGCAATTTCAGCACTGGTGGAATATACATGCAAAACAGGGGAAGATTCTGCTGGATAAGAAAAAGTGATGGTGGAGAAAAAACCACATGGCACAACCTCAAATATTACCCTCGGTCACTGCCAAATAAAAGTGAAAATTTCTTTTTCACTTTGCAGAGAAAAAACTTCTCAAAACACGGCCATCATTAATGTATCACCACAAGATGGTAGTACTAGCAGAGACGGCCATAACACATTTGTAAACATACTATCTCTTAAAGCATTTCCACTTCTTGGGTACTGTAAAAACAATGCTGTTAAACTGTGTGATTTTTTGGAAGCAAGAGGTTCTTCCTCAGCAGTGCAATTCAGTCAAAACCCCAGCAGGTCAGCACCTCTGAAGAACAAGCCCTGTAAGTACACGAGTGCTGCTGGATGGTAGCTGGTGGTAGAACAGCTTGTGCAACTTGTTACTGGAAGTTCAGAAATGCAACCACAAAAAGAAGGGCATGATTAGGGCTATGCCTTTAGGTCTGTGGGAAGCAGGACAGACTGGAATATCTCTGTGTTTGCATTTACTGATTGCCAGAACTTTTTCTTCAGCAACTGTTGTAAAATGTCATAGCCACTGCATCCCAAGAAGATGAAGATCAGATCTCTCATTATTCAACCTTAAACTTTTGAGGAAAAGAAAAAGTGGAAAGTATAAACAAATGCAAAAGTCCACATGTAGCTGAGAATACAAAATATTACAAAAGATGTAATTGGTTTACATGTAATATGTTTATTTGGTTGAATTTATGTATATATTTTAGTGGGCATGGATTAACACAGTTGGCTTTATTTTTTTGTATTATATAAGAATGCTGACAGAAAACTGCACCTTTCAGACTGAAGCTGTGTTAATTTATTGCTCTTGGTAATTGAACACTGACAAGGCATAATTTTAAGCTGCCCCATGATTTGGAACATTTTAATGTGCAACAATTTTAAAAACCAATTGTTTACCACCCAAAGCCAGTTTTATGCATCACTAAAATTGCCCACGGCTGTCACTACGTCCTTACTTGTGTTAGAAGCTGTGGCAGGATGTGGGATTAAGTTTGCTGTGCTGTGGGGCTTCAGCCACTCGTATCTATGCTGGTTATAAGAGAAGGGCCTAAGTTTAAGCCAGTCCTGTGCCACACCTGATGTTCTCAGCCTGGCTCCCTGACAGCACACTTGCACTGGATTTACAGGAGTAGAGTGGTGGCATTTGGGCCAGATTGAGAGTAGGGACCAACACTTATCCACTGAGGCCATGGGATGGTGTGGAGAAATTTGCTGGCTTCAGTGGGATTGTGGAAATATAAACTGGAAGTATGCAACTTATTTATCAGTCTACTAGAGGAGTAAAAGCAAGATTTACCCCATAAGACAGTGTTTTAACTGGCTGAGACAAAGCACCGTTGTGGTCATTTATTTATTACACCTCTAAATTTGCTGCCTTATCAATTTTAGAAGGCACCTCAATCCAGTTAACGCTGGCAGTTTTCCTTGCTGGCTAAAACCTCTTATTTTTTTATTCAAATACATCAACCACCGCTGATTTGGTAACTGAAAAAGATGCCAGACAACTTGAGAATGTGAGCACCTTGCCATGGTTGAACTGGCACCACCATGTGGCTAAGTATACCCCAGCAGGAGTACTGCATTTGAGCTGAACAGGATAAAATCAGCAGGGGAAGACTTATGCTCTCAGCCACCAACAGAGTGCAACTTAACGCCCATTCCAGCCTCAGAGCCCTCCTGCAGGCCAGCAATTGAAAGCAAATTAAGTGCATTTTGGAAACCAGCGTTGCTTTATTTGGCAAGGACTTCTCATTATGCTTCATTTGAGACAGAAAGTTGGAGGTAAGGTTATATTTGTATTGGATATTATTGTTCCCAAAGCAGAGGTTGAACCTCACTATTAGGTCAGCGGTGATAACTCCCAACATGCCAAAATTTCTGCCGTGGTTTAAATACCAAATTCATCACATCACCTCCTAATTTGCACTTTTTAGAATCTCAGTATTTACAAAACCTTTTTCAAATAAATGGAATTTATGTTGTGTGTGTCAATTCAGACTTCCCACAGTCCTTGGGATTAGAACTCAAACAGTTAAAAAGCCAAGCAATTCACTGGGCTGAAGGAGTGATCAGTGGGACCATGTAGGTGTCTAACAGAACAAAACAGTTTTTGACAAAGTTTTGGTGAGAGTAACAGGTCAAATTTCAAAACTCCACAATTTACCAGAAGCAGGATTCCTCCCCCTCCCCACATTATAGTGTGACACAGAAAGTGTGACAGGGTTTTATATGGGCAACTCAGCTGGTCCATTTGTGGCTTAGTACATAATTTCAGGGCATAACTCAAAGAAAAGAAAAGGGATCTGCACATGACCAAATAATGGACAGAGCTTGAGCAACTCTTATGACAACTTGTAAGTGCCATATAAAAATAAATTACTACTAAATAGGCATATAATTCCTGTTTCAGGTTCAGGTCTCTCCAAGAACAGCCTCTTACTGCTGAGAAGGAATATCTGGAGATTTGCGGAATACAATTAATCTCAAATTGTGCTGAATACAAACCCACTTCAACTCTCTTGCCAAACAAATTTGATAAATGAAGTGCTCTAACAGCTGGTTAGAGACTGAAGCACATAACTATTCTGAAGCTGGACTGAACAACAAAAGAAAAAGAAACAATCTTAATCAACATTTTAAAAACTCACCTAAATAAAATAAGGACAATCTGCAAATCTATCTTGACTTATTTCTGTTAAAACAGAGACTTGTTTCCCTAAATACATATGTGTCTAGTGTAGAGCTTGTATCTAACCAGCTCTTCATCAAGAAGGGAACAGATTGCTTCTAGCTATTTGAGTGCTTAATTTTTAACTTTTTTTTCCTTGTTGTTCATTTTATGGTTTTTTGTGTGGCTGTCTTGATAGATTAAAGACTTGGCAAAAATACTTCTTGATTCTTAGAGAGGTTGACCGTCTGGTGAGATTCATCCACACACTCTCCTGAATACAATAGTTTTACAACCCACAGCCATGAAGTGGACAACCTTTTCCTTTTCCTTGCTATACCTTTCCTTGCAACCTTTCCATATCCTATGCCATTTGGCAGACTGTGTGCTGGACAGATTTCACGTGGCTTTCCACAGTGCGTGTGCATGTGTGTCTGGATAATGTAGTCTTGGAAAACTGTCCAACTTCAGTTTTGCAAAGAGTGAGGTCTAATAACTCTGGTGGGATTCCTACTTGGAAGTGGCTACTTTTCTTATTGTCAGGCTCTTGTGAATGCTATGATAGAAGTGTCCAGAGTCTCGAAGGAAAGAGAAGTGAAGACCATGAGGGGAAATTGTTTCACATGTGTGACAACATTACCTCTTGGGACAGCTAAAAGCTGTCTTCACTTTGACTCATTCTGAAAACCAGCCTTTTTTCTTTTTGACTTTGCAAGTTTTTAATTTATTGTTAATATGATTGATGGTGTTGTCAGATGCCTAATCCCTTCACCATCAGAACAATAAAATTTTCAGAGCCTCAGTTAGTACATTTCTATTTTATAGCTCTAGTTTTAGGTCCAGCAATCTGTCCACATTTCTATGTGCACCTTATTTAGATATCAGCGAATCAAGCTGAGCATCAGCACAGAAGTCAGTCTGTGATACCAGAAACAGAGGCTACTGCTTGCTTTCACTGGAAAACATATTATCCTATTCTTATAGAGGGCAACCAATGGTCATGTTTCTTTTTGTCAAATGTACAAAATTCAGGGAGAGTGATGATGTGTGAATATACAGTCAATTGTCTTGAGAAGAAACAGAAAAATAAAGTGGGAAGACAGGTAATTATCTTATGAAAGCAACTAAGGTACATCAGACTTTCAATAATAGAAAGCTAGCTCAAAATATGAAATCACAGGACTACCTGTGGGGGACTTGCCTGGAAAAAAAAAATCAATTAGATGTTATTTTAAGATTTACATGTAATTCCTCTACCCACAGAGTAGCAAAATACAAATGTGTAGCAGTTTATTATTTCAATGTCATAATGAGAAAAATACTTGAAAACATGATGCTACAAGATACTACATGAATGTGTGGTTGTACACACTGTAACCACAGAGATTCAGAACAAAACTGGAACATTATAATGCAAGTAGGGAAGAAGGAAAAGAACATATAAAAGCCGCTCTAACTACAACCAGAAAAAAAATCTGCAAAAGATCATTGAAAACACCTATGCAATCGTACAAATACTTGGGAGACTGCTAAAGTTTGGTATTGGAAGCACACAGAGGTGAATGCTCATTACACAAAATTCGGCACAACATCCTCAGCTGCACTATATGCTCAGAAAAAGGCAGCCCTGAGCCACCCCTCTCTCTGGCCACAGAGCCGCAATGGGAATATTGCAACCCTGAGTAGCAATAGTTCAAAGTCTGAGTACTGAGCCCAAAATCTTAGGGCTGAGCTCAGCCACACCAGATGCACCTGCTCTGTAAGGATCGCTTCTCTGAGCAGTGCCTGGGAAGGGCTGTGCTTTCAGCCCTGCCTAAACACATCTCTGCAGCCTAGGAAGGAGCTTCAGAGAGAGGATTTGTGGCAAGCAGCAAGCTCCCTTGCTCTGGTGATAAAGCAGCCTGGGCATTGAAAGAAATAGAATAGATGTCAGGACAGGTTGTTTGTCGAGATGAGAGCTTTCATTTGAGGAAGCTGTGAAAGGATTCCACTGAGGCTTCTCCGAGGAAGAAGAACGTTTTTTACCAGGAAACCTCAAACCTAACTTCTGCAGAACCCCAAAGATCTAGGAATAATCAAAATCAATTACACAGCTTCAGCACCCTGCATTAGCTCTGGTCCCAATGAATGACTTCGTGGTCACAGACTGTCCTCCCAAATTACACGGAGCTGGAATGAAGTGCTCCTCCCCATTTTTCAATACTAACCTCAAAACCCTCTAATATGTTTCCTAGCCTGCATGCAGAGTCCAGAATGTACTGGCAGCTGCGTGGAAAAGGCAACTAACCATGCTTTCTGTGGAAAGGGAAGGTGAGCACCCATTCACGTTCAAATGCTGTGATATGGGCAGTCTGGGCAAGAGGAAGGAAAAAGGAAAACACATGTCCCGGAAGGAAACCCCCTGCTCATATTGCTGGTTAAAAAACTAAGGGTGAACAGAAACATAAGGAAAAAATGCAAGAGGAAAAAAAAGTCAAGACATGAAAAATTTATACTAGGCAAGAAATTAGATTACCTCCAAGGAAAGACAGCACCTGGAGCTAGGTTCATGTTAATTCGGGGAGCATAAAGGAACTCACACACCTTGTCTAGAAGGCCATTGTTTTCCTTCATAAGAATACAGCAGCTGAGAACAATGGCCATTAGTATCTGGTACGCATGCTTTGTATGAAGTTAAGAAGGGATCATTTTGCCCTGTGCAACTTTTAAGTTCATTCTTGACAAAAAGTGTTATACCAAATCCAGAAAAGAACAGGCATATTCCTCTTCAAATACTGCTGTATTCTACCTGTGGAAAAACCTAGAGAATAGGCATATATTCCTTGGCCAAATGGTTAACAGAAAACCACAATTATGTGAAAGTGTTTGAATGATCTAAGCTAGAAAAAAGGGGAGAGAAATAAATGGACATATTGTCTGAAATGGCTACATTACACATAGGAAAAGTCAAACATAAGAAAAGATAAGCTCTATTACCAGAGGGAGTAATTGCAACAACAACAAAGGTAAAAGTAATTTCTCAAGTAATTTCAATTCCATCACATTGATCACTTTAAAAAGCCAAAGCATGGCAAGCAGATACATTACTTTCTCCTGATGATCTTTTACATTTTTCTGTGCTTATCACCCAATTTTACATCAACAGTCAACTACAAATGGGAAAGCAAGAGCCTGTGTCACCTGTGAACGACCTATTGTCCTTACCACAAAACCTACTTGCATAATTTATGTTAGGTGTAACATTCCCATTCTTCCCCTATGCAAGTAATGATCGTTCTTTCTTTCATACCTTCATCTTGGCTCTTTCTAATCTTTCACTTATGATCTTTCTTTTAAATAGAACCTGAATTAAAAGGGTCTATTGTTCAGCCTAAGAACTGTAACTTTTGGTCTCAGAATAAGAAGATATACCAAGAAGCAAGGTATTGTCCACTTAGCACAGTTTGAAAACATGCTTATTTTAAAGAATTTTTAAATATAAAAGAATCTTTCATGAGCAATCATATAGCTTCCAGAAGTTCAAGCTACCCTTAGCTCACATTCTGTGAGATCCTCTCTATTTCACAATTTTCACAGGGCTATCTAGACCTGGACTGTCTCTCTATTCTTGCCCTTTTCACAGTGGTGAAATTGTCTCCATTCATTACCTTCTAACACCTGGTTTTCATTTACTTTCACTTAGAACGAGTGCAGAAGGTTAAGACAAATGTCTTAACTGGTTAAGACAAATGTCTTTCCTATCCTTTTTTTTTCTGGATGGTGCCTGAACAATTGTCACAACCAGTCAAATAACTGACTCATCTTCCAACCATAGAATGCAATCTCAGAACAAGGTCCTCACTTCTGTTTACTTTTCTTTTGCCTCTACTGTTATTATACCTTCCAAAAGTGTTTTCATCCAGCAGAAAAATAGAAGTGCCCATAACAACATCCTTCTTTGGAATTCCTGCACTTTCTTCACACAGCCAAATTATAAGAATATTGAGTTTGTGGTCAAAAAGGTCTGTCTTCAGATTTCACCCAGGCCCTATTTTTTTATCTTGCAGCAGCCCAGCATATTTCTTTTCTCTGTCATATAAAATGAGTTGTAATAAATAGCTCCCATTGTGACTGCTGGTTTTAGCACATTTAAGGAAGTAGCACAGGTACCACACTGGTAACCACAGCCAGTCCTGTGGTTGATAATGGCAGTGCTAACAAAGATGAATCACCAGCAGTGAAAGCAGGTCAAAAAAACCACACACACATGCACACACAGACACACAGAGAACCCTACACAATCTGAAACAAAACCAAAAGGAACTCACTCCACCAGAAACGATATCCAGGGAAAGAGATAGAAGTGTAACTGGGAATGTATGCCTTGCAACATACTCTGCTTTGAACACATTGCTCACAGTAGGGACTCGCCCTCAGGAGTCACGATCTGAAAATACTTTATTGAATAATGTGATACTCAGATTTTTCAATGAAAATTTATGGTTTTGTTTATTTTTCTCACTGCTTCAAATGATGGTTGTACACCTTCCTGTAAAACAGGTTTTCAAACACCAGAAGTTCTTATGAATCCTTGTGGGGTTCTGCATTTCACATTTTTTTAACTCTTGTCCCACTAGAACAAATGATTGCCAGGGTAAAGATTATTTTTATTTGTGCTTTCCAACTATCTACCATTCTGGACATCCAAAATCTGTGGGGACTTTCATGTGAATGCCTTCATACAAGCCACGTCCATCACCCCTCACTGACAGCAAAGGCAAGAAACACACCACCATAATGCACAGGACAGAACAGAACAAAACAGAACAGTGCTTCAGGACAAGAATGATTCCCTTGAGCTGCTTCCCACCCTATGAGAAGGAAAAGAGGGTGAGTCTTAGTCTTTTCTTCTAGCTAAGGAGAAATAATCAAGCTAGCTGCTACACCATCGAGTATTGCATAGGAAAATAGAGGGAGACTTTGCCAATGGACTGGCTGGCTCACTGCATTTTGAGAGCTTTATGAATTCTTAAAAAGCTCTTCCCCTCAGAATGACTTCAGGTGAACAGCACACAGTGCTGGCAGCAGCATGTGACCCTCCTGTTTACTTCAATACAAGATGGGCCTGGAAATGAAAGAACAAGCACAGCAGCTTTTGAGGAAGAGGTCACCTTCTTTTTAACTTCTCAAGTGTCAAGGCTCAAACAAGTGGAGGGCCATTCCACAACCATCCTCTTAGTCAGCCAGACAGCTGGGAAATATTACTGTTCCTCAGGAGAGGGCTGTTACTGCAGTGGCCCTCTTGCTACATCCTTCATCTTCACATCTTCTATGAAAAATAAGTTATGGACTGTATTAACTAGTTTGTTTTCCCTAAGCTTCAGCATAATGATCCAGCTAATAGCTGTCCATCACCTTTTGTCTCAATAGCAGAGAGCAACTCCAACGCTTGCCTTCCTTGCCTTCATTTGGGAAATGGCAGATAGGAAGAGATAGAAATCAAAATGAACACTACAGCCTGGTGTTCAAAGCTGTTAAGTTTTCTTAAGAACTCCCAATGTAAGAATACCCAGAGTACCTTAAACTTCACAAGGATTAAGGGTGTTCTGAGAGGAGAAAATACATTGAGATTTTAGAACACTGTGCATGTCTGTGAGTTAAACAAATCAGAACTACCTACAAATAAACAATAGTTTTCCTCTTGGTGAACTATACTGTTTCCCTAAGCATTAAGAGTCATAGTGTGTTCACTATCAGCCAGGCACCTATCCTGTCACTGTACATTCACAGTAGAAAACCCTCCTTCCAGTGTGTGTTACTCATAAATGTGCTAAATCAGACTGACTCTCTGCCCTTCCATGTTCTAAGGTGAATTAGGAAAGGGTCTGTTATAGGATGATACAGGCCATTCTTTTGTAATGGTCTGCAGTTTTCTCTCCCAATACATTTTCTTTTTATTTAGCACTTCCATTTTTATCCTGTGTTCTTCTTCAGCCATCTCACACTCTCTTTCTATTTGCTGTATCTTTGCCACATGAACTTCATTCATTTGGATTAACTGGAGTTGCAAAATCGACATTTGCTGATGATGCTCTTCCTCGTGCATCTTTTTCAGAGCACTTTCCTGAGATGCTTTACTTCTGTAGTTCTTATCTGCTGCTATTCTGACATCAGAACACGAAGGCTCAGGCTGGGAGGTGCCTTCACATACTGGAAAATGTACCAGCTCTTTGTCTTCATCACAAAGTTCTCTATTTGACACAACAAATGACTCTGCAAACAAAAGAAGATAAAGTGTTATAGTATTCTCTTCCATTCCTTCAAGAAACAGAAATGTGATAATATAAATTACTGACATGTGCCTCTAAACCTTGTGCTCCAGAAGCAAAGCACAGGAGCCACTACATAATGCAGTTCTGCTGCAGAATACTAAGGGCATAATGGGCTGAACAGAACCACTTGGGGCTCTGTTGAAAAACCTCCAAGGCTATAGTGGGAGTTCAGAAGACTAAAGTGAATGCACAATTGTAAGTGGACACCTGAATTTAGGTGGCTGAGCCTGGAGCTAAACCTTAATGCAGCCATTTAAGCTAAATCCATATGTGACTTGCAATATTTGGTGAAAGATCTGAGTGTCAGGTGAAGCTGTGTCAACATGAATATCAAGAGAGAGGGAGCAGTAGGAAGAACACATCTTATTCCTTCTTTGTTTCTGCTGCAGATGTTGTAAATACAGTAGCGTATATTTTTAGGAAAAAATTACATTATTCTAACTTTCAGAAGACTCTACCAATTCTTCTGAAATAAGAGACTACACAGGGAAAAGAATATTTACCAGTGCAAATGAGGGTCTCAAAACATATTCGTATCCAAATCCAAATGACTAATTATGGTAAATACAATTATGAAAGAGGCATTCTAAGAATGTTATCTAACAATGTAGCTGCTGTTGTCTTTTGAGCAAGGACAGTCTTCTGTGTGAGATCCTGACATAATAAAATTTGCAAGAAACTGTTGTAGCCACCCTCCCTCCTGGTATTGAATTATTCCTTCTGGGCATGCTTGCCAAACAAAGAAGAATGTAGTGCTGAACTTTTTCAGAAAGGCCATTCTCCAGTGTGGACTGCAGCATGAAATATGGCTCCACATACTCTTTTTAGTCCTTGAAAACAAAGGGGGAAAGACCACTGGGAACTCTTGCAGCAGGCAATTGTGTATCAATTTGCTGCTGGTAGCTTTTTTTTTTTTTTTTAAACCAGCAAAATGATACTTTAAAAATTATAAAGATATCCTTGGGACTGTTCTCTGGAAAGCCAGCATGATAGCAACTGTGATGTTTGCCACAAAGCAGCAGATATGTCAAAAACAGATGAAAAAAATCTGTAAAAAACCTCACATTCGTTTAACTCCTGTAGGCCTCAGGAAATACACACAGCCTTGTAATATCATAGCTCTGAAATTACTTTTCTATATCCAGCAGTCACTTTTATATATCTCACAGCTAAGTGGAGAGATTTGAAAAAGGATCACTGGCAAAATCACATACAAAACAATAACACTCGCATCATTACAGCAACATTTATACCTTGACTGGAAGCATCAGGCTGATATTCAGAGTCTTCTTCTGGTGGGCTCTGCAAAAAGTACATTTGCTCAGGCATTATGCTTCCAGTCTTCTCTTTCCCTACGATGTGAGTATTTATAAGTGGACTAATACTTCTTTTTACCTTCTCCCGCCTTTCATGTGCCATTATCTTTTTTGTCCGTGCCTTGATATTTTCCCAGCATTTCTTTAACTGTTTGAAGTCTCGCAGTGACACACTGGGCTGCGAGTTATATTCATGAGCCAGGGCTTGCCAGGTGCGTTGTTTCAGAGCAATAGTTCTTGCATCACTTTTTTTACATTCAAGCACGTATTTGTATTTTTCAACTAATGCAAGCAGCACACTCTTCTCCACTTCTGAGAAGTATTTAGCAGGCTTTATTATTTCGTTTTGCATTTTCTACTGTTTCTCCAAGAAGCCAAAATTCCTATGGAAACAATGATGAAAGAAAAAAGAAAGAATAAAAACAAACACAAGTTAGAACTGGTTGCAGTATCAGGATTCTGATCAATTTTGTTTTCTAGAATAGCTTGTGAGTAGTCTAGAGTACATAATGGAATGAACAGGTAAGATAAAACACAATTACATTCTGGTTTGTGTTGCCTCTTTAGTGGATACACAGCGCCAGAAGCAAACTTTAATGAATAGTCGTCTTTGTTACAATTTGTCTGGATACAAAATACTCAGTATTTACTTAGTATCTTGTTTTTAATATCTTGTTTTCCCGTTCATTGCACTTTTTCACTCCCAGAAAGTTTTCTAAGCCCTCAAGTTAGGAACAAATTTCAAAACCTAGCCATCGCTAGCTTCAGGTTTATGTCTAAAGCCACCTTCAGCATGTTTGGGTTTTCTTTGATATAAAAAAATACATTCTTCTGTCTTTGCTGATTGTGTATAATTAATGTCTCCCATCTCTCTCCAATATTTGAAAGCTGTATGAGCAATGATAGTAAGAAGTTGTCTTTTTAAAGACCTGTCAGCTCCATTCTCCCCCAAGCTCCATCCCCTCCTGGCTGATACCCAATAGGCAGCAGGATCCTGACCTGTATTACAATATTGAGAAGCAGCAAGAGTTGCAAGGAGAGGAGAAATAACAACAGAAACCAACCACGTGAAAAGTACAGGTCCTTCACCCTTGACTGCTGGCCCTGCACAAGTGGCACTTCCTTGCACTTGTGCTGCTGGTCATTCAGGAGCCAACAAACAGGCTAAAAAGAGTTTTGGCCTTAACACAGACACTGCTACACACTCACACCACATCAGCAATCACCCCTTTTCTCAAGCCCAGCACTTACATAGTCAATAGGAAAAAGGTAGCTGATAACAGGGAATTTCCGGCCATTAAAAAAACCCAAAAAAACCCCAAAAACCCCAACCAAACCAAAAACAAAACAAACACAAAACCCCAAAAAACAAACAAACAAACAAACCCCCCCCAAAAACAACCAACCCAAAACAAGCACTGTTGCCTTGAGTTTACAACATATGACTGTGAACACAAAATATGTTTTTTCTTCTTCTATCTTTTCACATTTTTCTCTCCCTTCCTTTCTGCTGTAGCCGTGTAGCCCAAATTACTTTTAGATTTTGGGCAGAATGCTCCCTTAGCTCTCATTTCATTTGTTTTTAATCATTAAACCCAGTGATACAACATTTATAAGATAACTGGTTATCATTTATAAGATAACTGGTTCGTACTCTTAACAGTCTAGGACTCTCCCAGAATTAATTTTCTAGTCTTTTGCCTATTGTTTCTACTACTTCTCTTACAATATTCCTTGATGGTGCAGCACCATCAGTTTTCCTCTTCTCAATATATTTTTCCTTAACTCTACTGCACTGGGACTTTCTTTGTGCCATCCTTAATATTCCTTGATGGTGCAGTGGATATCACCATCAGGTTTCTTCTTCTCAATATATTTTTCCTTAACTCTACTGCACTGGGACTTTCTTTGTGCCATCCTTGTAGTTCCTTTCCTCCAAACATCTTAGTACTTACAGTTATTCCCATCTCTTTCAGTAAAGGTACTGAAAGTACTTATATTTATAAAAAAAGCTAACAGACAAGCTAATACCAAAATGAAAACCCAAGCCTGACATAAAAACAGTGGCTCTCTTGAGTAGCCCACAAAATATGACAAAGCCCAGCTGTCCTGGTTTCAGTGGGGACAGAGTTCATTTTCTTCCTGGAGGCTGGTACAGTGCTGTACATTTTGGATTTAGAGAATAATGCTGATAACACATGGATATTCTAGTTGATGCTCAGTGGTGCTTATTCCAAGTCAAGAATTTCCAGTTCCCCATGCCCTGCCAGAGAGCAGGTGCACAAGGAGCTATGAAGGAGCACAGCCAAGGCAGCTGATCCAAACTGGCTAAAGGGATATTCCATACCATAAAATGTCATGTTCAGTGTATTAATGAGGAGGGAGTTGGCTGAGACCTGCAGGTGGTGAGCAATCATATTGTGCATCATTTGTTTCTCTTGAGTTTTCTTCCTCTCTCTCTCTCTCTCTCTCTCTCCCCTCCACTCTCTTTTCCACTACTATATTTAATGTTGTTTCAATTATTAAGCTGTTCTTATCTCAACCCCCAAGTTTTACTTTTTTTCTGACTCTCCTCCTCACCCCACTGGGGGCAAGGGGTGAGCAAGCAGCTGCACAGTACTTGGTTGCTGGCTGGGGTTAAACCATGATGCCAGCAAAACAAAGGAGTCGAAGAACAGGGCACACAGTGGAAAAAAGCCTGGAATAGCAAAACTAAAGCAAAGTGAATAGAAGTAAGTAACAGTCTGGGTCAAGTCAGTAGCAAGTTGCACCTCTACTGAAAAAGGAGCAAACACTTGGTTTGCACCTTCTGTCAGTGTTTGACTGGGTTATTGCAGGCACCTGTGTGGGTCCTGCATAGTCACAGTTCTGCTCTCTTTCACCAAATCCTGGTGTCACAATGACATGGGAGAGCTGAAGTTTTTGCAGCAGACAAGATCTAGTGGACTAAGGGAAAGATCCATAGGAAAACAAAATGCAATAGTGCTACTGCTCATAGAAGAGTTAGTTTATTTTACATTAAAGCAAAAGGAAGAAGAAGGAAGAGAGTTGGGTGGCTGAGTTTAAGGAAGACAGTTTCTTGATCCAATATTTCCTCTGTCACACTGTCAAGTTATTTTTATGGTCTGTGAAAACATAAGTCACCCTCTACGTTGGTGACAGGAGTTCTTAAACAGCTATAAACCCACAGAAAAAAACTAGGTGTGAGTAAAGAAACTTCTTTCATTTCATACCAGTCATTACAATGTCTAGGTCTAATAGAAGTGTACAGCGGCTTCAGAAGTTCCTTAAATAAAACACAAATTAGTCAAGTTATTTTTATGGTCTGTGAAAACATAAGTCACCCTCTACGTTGGTGACAGGAGTTCTTAAACAGCTATAAACCCACAGAAAAAAACTAGGTGTGAGTAAAGAAACTTCTTTCATTTCATACCAGTCATTACAATGTCTAGGTCTAATAGAAGTGTACAGCGGCTTCAGAAGTTCCTTAAATAAAACACAAATTAGGAAAAAAAATAGTCAGGAAATTGACATCCTAGCAAAGATACTGAAAACTGGCAAGTTCACTTCATGAAACCACTCTGAAAATAGGTAAGATAAAAGAGACAGAATGGAATAGGGTGTATCTACTAATGTATTTTACTTACATACTTACTGCACCATTCCAAACCATTCACTTGCTTTGGAGAGAAGCTGAAGTGAAATTCTTGGGACTAAATATTGATTCTGTATCTTAACCTTAATTCCACCAAGGAATGGGATGAAATGCAGTCCCACCAGCAAGTTGTGAAGCCCAATAGCTTATGACTCTGAAAAATCAGGATCACTCCATGTGATCAGAAAGGACAGATTCTACCCTCTACTGATGCATGGAAATCTTAGTTCTAGTTTTGAAAAGGTGAGAGAATCTCAGACAAAAAGAATCATTACACGTTTATGCTTAGAAAATCCCTTTAATTAGAAAAACTGGATTTTCAGAAGTTTGGAGACTGCATTCACAAAGTTAAACAACATTACTAGGACTTCTAGATTCCACGTGCTAAATATCTAGCTTCACAGACCAAGATCAGCTGATATCAGTAAATATCTGAAACATTTATAAATATGACTTTCGATATATTAACATGTTATGTACTAGAATAAAGTTCATCTCTCATGGAAGGAGCAAATTTAGGTATCACTTTCATACCACACTATCATTTACTTCTATTATTTTTACTGTTGTAGCATCTGAGATCCCCAGTTCAAATACTAAACATTAAAGAATGGAAAGACAAGTCTGAGAAAAAATATATTGGTCTTTCCTTCCACTAATCACATTCCTAGTATTTGTTTCCTAAACATACACACTGCACTGGTGTCCTTTCTGTGAAGAAGCCAGGATTAATATCTAGGATGCATAAAGGGACTAAAGAACTGCTGTGGGCAGCCTAATATATAGAAGAAAAGAGTTTTGGAAGACCTCTCAAGTTCTTACATGCTTAACCTACTTTCTTCAATGTATTAATGCCCATTTGGTGAACAAGGAAGCACTCTGAGATGTCAGGAGAAGTTAGAATACCGAGAAGTTGTGTGAGAACACCACCATGTATTTATATTCACCTCTTTTTTCTTTATGCATATTATTCACCTTCTTGCAGCCCACTGGCTCCTCTGCAGAATATGAGAAGGGACTCACAAGCCCACAGAATTTCCATTTTGAGGCTAACCAGTCCTTCCAGGACATATGCCTGTGATATAATTTAGCAGGAATCTGTGCTGAAATCAAAGTAGTTTACTGTGCATGGCTCATCCCATAAACTGGATTGATTTGTGTGGGCACACAAGGACAGCTGCAGAGTAAATTCTAAGAAACAAAGACTGGAAAGCTTCTCCCACTCTTACAGGTGCCTAGGCTCCAAGACACATGCAGTAAGAAAGTACTTTATCCTAAATATCTTCTCCTGGCATGACTGAATTCACAACTTGACTTGAAGCAGTGTCCTAAGTATTTGTCCTCTCACACAAACCTCTACAGCTTTAAGATAACAGAAGTATCTCTCAGCTCCCCATCTTTATTGTGAAATGTTGTGCAGCATTCTTCTTTTAAAGGCTATAAGGCATGTGATGTGATCTGCTCGAAGAACAGCTTGAAAAAAAAAAACTACAGAAATTAGGAAAAGCACATCTGTTCATAAATATGTCACACACATGCATTATTTTGCCTGCACACATCTAAACAGACACCCAAGCTCCAACCAGTTGCAGAGAAGCACAGTAAAAGGAAAAAAAATTGGTTTAAGTTGGCATGTGTGAGCATTTTTAGTCCATGAAATGTTTTTTTAGGCCTAAGAAAATGCAAAGTTATGGTGGAAGATTTATCCCAAATGTTAAAAAGGTTACACTAACCAAACCCCCAAAAAATTAGTTTGTTAGCAAATTGTGGTCACTTATGGGGTGGAAATGAAGTTCACTGACCAGTGCCAACAGAATTACTACCAGAAATATTCAAGGATTGATAAAAATAAAATCTATGTCTCTAACTTAAATTGCAGATGAAGCTGTAAACATAGTCAGTAATTAACAACATTGGAAATGAAACATAATTCTGTCCTTTTCATGCAGTGCTTGAGGACCAAAGAAAGGCATGGAAATGCAATGACCCAAACTAGTCACAACAGGTTTATATTTTGTTTGAATGACAGAAGCAGCAGTAAACAGTGTTCTTCTTCCTCAAATGTTTCCTTGGTTTTCCTCACCAAGCTTCCATCAGTGCTCCAGGCCTGACCCTGCCTACCTTGAGACTTGAAATCACTAGGTAATTAAGAGCACATTGCAAATATGAATGAGCTCTCTACAGAAAATGTGTTTTAATCAGATTTTTAAAAATCCCACCTCCTTGGGTGCTTTCCCCCTATGCTTTTCTACAAATGAATAGTTATCAGTATCATCCAGCAAACAGACAAGATCATCTATTAGTAAAATTCACAGTACTTTACCCAAATTTCTCCTGTCAGATTTTATATAGCTATACACGGAAATGTATTAAAAATATATATGCAATTGTACCATAATACACTATAGATACACACAGATTTTAAGCGGGTCATCCCGCTACCTATGGAGGACATCCCAAGCACTTCCCGCAAGCAAGGTAATGGACGCAGGTCGTTATTCCGAACCGCTGCCTGAAATCCACCAAAACCAGGCACAATACAGGAATCCTACCAGACTCTCCCGCACCCGAACTTCTCAAACATCAACTCGAGCTTGGTGGGGTTCCTTTAACCTCCTCGCTAGCTCCTCTTGTGCTCGCGGCTCCCGGCTCCACAAAGGCGGCCGCTCCGGGCCGGGCGGGCAGGCTGCGGCGCTGCGGGCGCATCGCGGGCGATCCCGCGCCCGCAGGTGCGGCGGCGCTGCGGGGAACGCGCGCGTGAGTACGTGTGGATATGCGTGTGTGCTGTGGGGAGCGGCGTGGAACACCCAGCGGCCGCCGGGAAGGGGGTGGGCAGCCCCGCCTGGGCCGGGCGCGGGCGGAGTTGCCGGGACGCACATCCCTAGCGCGGCGTGCCCATCCGCATCCCAATCCCGGGGCCGCGGAGCGGGACGGGGAATGCCCGCCCCGGTGCGGACCCAGCTCGGGCTTTACCTCCGACTGCGCCGGCGGCCTGCGCGCCTGCGCGCCAGCGCCCCCAGCGGCGGCCGCGGGAAGCGCCTGCCGCCGCCGCCGTCCCGTTCCCATTCCCATTCCCGTTCCCGGTCCCGCCGGGCTCCCGCCACCCTTCCATGCCTCATCGAGGGCGGGTCGGTGGCAGGTAGCAGCGGGGAGCGCCCTCAGCTCCTGCGGGCTCCGGACGCTGCCCGCCCGCCGGGGTGAGTTGTGTGCAGCGGCGGCCCGGCGGTCTCCCCGCTCCGGCAGTGTCCGTGTCCTCCCGGCGGGGCTGGGAGTGCCGGGAAGGGCGCCCTCCCGCCCGCGCCGCTCTTGGCGTGGGGTTTAGAGCTTCGGGGCCTCCCTGCTTCCCTTCCTTCTCTCCATTCCCCTCTCTCCCTCCTTTACTTCCCGCTTCCTTCGCCGCCACGGTCCGGGTGGGAGCCGTGTCCTTCTTCCCGAAGCCGGGCACTGCGTGCTGGCTGTTCCCGATGTGTGTGTCATCTGTCCCAGCCCATGCCCGCAGTCCTGTCCCAGGAAAGAAGGGGGAAGCTTGAAATGCTCCGGATTAGTTTTTGTTTCGTTAGTTTTTGCTCTGCGTAATCTTCTGGTGACGTTAATGTTTCCCGAGGGAAGCTGGCGGAGAACAATTGTTTCTTTCCATGCTGTAGTTTTGCTCTCGAGTTCAAAATAGGATCATTCGCCTGGGAATTTAAAGGTTGAATGTGACTCAAGTCAAGGCGCAAAATAAAGCTGGAATGTGCCCAACCCTCATATGGACGGAACAAAAATGTAAATAATTTTATGAACTCAAACAACATTTTGCAAACTTTCTGCAATTTTCCTAGAGTTTTTTTATCATCTAAAGACTGAATATGGACCCTGAAAGTGAAATAAAGAAGCAAATAAACCCCTTTTACTGCAATGTAAGTATTCACTTAAAAAGTTGTCCTAAAGCAAGTGTGAATGTTCTTTATTTTCTCTTGAGCAAGCTTGGTAAATAGCACTGGACCTGAACTTATTTTGGTGACTTTGTCATGTTTGATTTGGCTGTGTCGCTTATTAAAGTGAATAATATTATGTTTCTAAATAAAGGCATTATTTTTAAAAGTGCATGATTAAGTGTAGCTCCTGTTCAGAACAAAAAAATCCCGATTTCTCTGGTTGTTGGGTTTATTGCTGTTTTATTAAGGCATACTCGGATTTTTAGAGGAGAAGAAAATATTTGGGCTGCTGCTGTTCATTCAGGTGAATTTAAACCTAATCTGCTTCTGTTCTGAGCTGGCCCAGGCATAAACCAGCTGTGCTAGGGAAGTTTTCCAAAGGGAGCGAGGCAGGCCCTGAGCTGATCAGAGTAAGTGGTAGTGTGGCTGCAGAACTGGGGGTAACTGGCTCACCTCAGGCAGGTGCCATGGCTTGTCACAATTGTGCCGTGCCTGTGGCTCACCCTTCCTTTCCTTCCTGCGTGAGGAAGGTCTGGGATCTGTCTTCACTTGCCCACACAGAAAGTGTTATGAGATAGCTGCAGAGTTCTGGAGCATCTGAAATTCTTCCGTGATGTGGAAACTCTGGTTCATCTCACTGTGTTTCAGTGGTCTTGGAGCCTTAAAAAATTCAGTTTAAGGAGGCTGCTCTAGTTTTGTCTTTGAAGTTGTAGTACTTTTGTAGAACTTAAGCTATACTAACAATTTGATAGTGGATCTGTTTTGATATCAGTGGTATTTTATTTCTCTTGGTCTGTGTGCAATGCTAGAAATACTTCTCTTTAATCTAGATTTGCAAAATCTGGTGTTCTTCTGCATTGAACTTGCAGACTCATTTCCTTGGAACGAAACACAGGATGGTAAGATCAGTTTTTGAATGCACCTTTTGTCATATTTTACCAATTTATTTAGCAATACATTATGGGGTTTGAAATCTAGTTTTTATTGTGGTGGTGAAACATACAATTTCAGATATTTAACTAGTTTTGCAAACTTGCTGTCTTCTCTACAATGATAAAGTAGAACGTGGTTTTGTACATTAGTCCTGTCAGAAAATGTTACAACTTTATGTCTAGTAAAGACAATACATGAGAATATATGGCTGTTAATAAAGGGGAAATGGAATTACTTAAATAATAGACAATCTTCAGAGGAAAAAGGGACGTTTTCCTTTTTTTAAATTTTCATGTAATTGTTCACCTGAGATAGTCTATGCTGTTGGTATTAATCAAACTTCTATATAATGAAAGCTTGGCATTGTTGTTTTTTGACTCTTAAGTGCCTTTCTTCTTTGTTGGTTGATAACTTGGTAATTTAGGTTGAAGAAGCATTGAAAACTCATGGCATGGGTAAGTGCAAGATTTTTTGCCTCCTTCTGTGTTCTGTACCTGCATCTTTCTCCCCATCCCAATGTAGTTGTTTATGAAACAAATGACAAAAAGACTTTCTCAAGACTTGTGCTTTAAGACCTGTCTTGTGTTTTTAAATAATATAGCTACCTAATCAGTCAGTAATGTGAGCAAGAGGTATGCAAGGTTGATTAACAAGCACTAGCCAGAAGACTAAAAATCACCTACATTAAATTTTTGAGAAACCCTAAAGAATTCAAGACGTTAGAGACCTTCAAAACTTAAAATATAATTTAAAAACCTATGCTTCTTAAACCATGTAGAAATGCTGTATATACTTTGTTTTTGGAAAGGGGTTAATTTGCTTCAGCTAATTAAGATATTTTTAATACTTTTAATAGGTTTAATGCATCGTTAAACCTCCTCTGGGTCTTGATGAACTGGTCTAGTTCCAGAAGGAGTGAAGGTCTAACTACATTCACAGTTGTTCTCCTAAATTGGTTTCATGATGCACCAAAATGGTGCAGGTTTCAGGTTTCTACAGTTCACTGTTCCTAGAATTTGGTTTGAAAGTTGTTGTTCAAGTCAGACACAGTCATTGGACCTACCTGATCTGAGAATTTTTGTTTGGACTGTAATGGAAATTTAAGTGATGAAATATTTAGCAGCTGTATGCTTGCTGAAATAAATGTCCTGAAATTCCTAGATGCCCTCAAATCTTTAGAGACACTGAACTTCATTGATCTTCCTCTCTGCCTGCTTCATTGAATTGCCTGACATGAAATAAATTTGTTGTTGTTTAGTGTGAATGTTTTCTGTCCATCTTTGGAGCATGGTGCTGATGCCACCAGGGTCATGGGTTCAGTCCTTGTACAGGACTTGATGATCCTTTGGGTCCCTTCCAACTCAGAACAGTCTGCGAATCTCTGAAAAAATCTCTTAGCACGCTCAAAACTTAACTTAAACATAGTTTAGTTTTCTCATGTTAACAGAAGCTCAGAGTTTATTAAAAGTAGTTATTTTAGTCAGTTAGTTATTTTACCAACTTATTTTATATACTAACAATTTTATTTCCTCTTCTGTGTGATTATTTTGTTTTCTTCTTTGTTGTTGTTCTTGTTGTTTTTTCAGTCAAAGCAGAAAGTTGCTTACGAAGGAAATTGAAAACACCTGTAAAACTTCCTGATTTTGGTAAGAATGTTTAGCATCTGCCCCCAGACCTTCCTCCCCCACTGCCAAAAGAAAAAGGGAAGAAATAAAAAATCCTGAGGTACAATATTACAAGTGATGTCCAGATCTTAGCAGATTATTGGGAATTCATTTCTGTTCATTGTACTTTCAGTCTGCAGTAATATTTTGTAATAATACTTACTTTTTGCAATTCAAATGCTTTAAAATGAGTGGAAATAAGATTGGGAGAGGTAATGTTTCATGATAACTGACTTAATTTGTGATGTGGGACCATGTATGAACAGGGACTTAACTCAGTGATCCCTGTAGGTCTCTTCCAACTCAAAATCATCTTTGAATCTGTAAAAAAAAAATCTCTTAGCACATTCCAAACTAAACATTTTTTAGTTTTCTCATATCAGCAAAAGCTCAAAGAGTTTTTTCTAAAGTAGTCACTTATTTTACCAAATTGTTCTTTCAATTGAATTAACAATTTTATTTCTACTTCTTTTAGATTTTTACTTTTGTTTTTTTTTCTTTTCTTTTTTTTTTCTTGTTAAAACAGAAAGTTGTTTAGGGAAGACAGTGAAAACAACTGCAATACTTCCTGATTTTGGTAAGAATGTTTAATGACTCTCCCCACACCTTCCTGAAAAAAAAAAAAGGGGGAAGGAATAAAAAATTTTGAGGTTCAACATTACAAGGGATGTCTAGATCTTAGCAGGTCATTAGAAATTCATTTCTTATCATTGTACTTTCAATCTGCAGTAATATTTTGTAATAATACTTAATTTTTGCAATCAAATGCTTTAAAAAGAGTGGAAATAAAATTGGGGGAATAATATTGCATAATAACTGACTTAATTTGTGATGTGGGACCATGTATGAGCAGGATTTACTTGTATGTGAATTTCTTACAGTGCCACTTGAGCCAGAGAAGTTTCATGTACAGACATTGGAAGACCAGCTCAATACATGTAAAGATTCAGAACCTGCACTTGGTGAGGGCTTTTAATACTGTAATTGTTTGGTTTTGTGGTATTTGCCTTTAAAGAGTACAGATCAGTTTTTTTAAATGTAAAATTAGGTAATGTGTTACAAGATCTTTTTATGGTTGTACTGAGTACCCAATAGAATGGTATGGAAGTGATAGATTGTAGTGACAAAATCATTGGATTTGGCCTGGAACACATTTGGTTAGATATCTCATGTTGACAATATTCTCTAGACACA